GCGAGAGAGGGAAGAGGCGCTGTGCAGAGAGGGGGAGAAGGCGAACAGGAGTCTCTCTAGCGCAGAGGGAGAGCGGGATCGAATTAATGAAAGGAGCGGGCTCGAGAGCCGTTATTCAGAAGCAATTGGCGGGGATTTAATTTGTTTCCTTTCAGGCAGCCAGCTTAAATGGAAAAGCTTAATGAGGAATTAAATGATAAATTTAAATTTTGAAATTCAAAATTCAAACTTATATAAGCTGAGGCAATTAGACCGTGTTCAGCCCGAATCGAACCCAAGTCGGACCTGGATTGAGCCCGGGCCCGCGCACCGCTAAAAAAATGCATCGATTTCCGTGCCATATGTGCGCGTGTAAAACCATAACAATGCAGGTGTCCTTTCTAGCTAAAGTTGACGTTCCAGACGCGTTGGCGCGGTCCGTTTCGTCATCCGGGGTCGTCCGGACGAGTTCACGGACGGGCTAGTTGATTCAAGTCAACGTCGTGTGTGAATTGCAGCGTTCGCGAGTAATCGAGTCACAAAGGGTTCACCTAAGGCTGTTGATCCTATAGGAACTCAATTTCGGGCCCTCTACATGTTGGTCCTTAGCCATTGCAACTAAAAGTTGAGTGCTTGGAACCACTCATGCGAGTTCTTCACAAAAATGAGTCAAGAAGTGGCTTGAAGTTCTACGGGAGGCGGGCTCCATTACTAGTCCGCTAGGATGGTCAACCAGGAACTCCTAAGGCTAGATCCTAGGTTCTAAGAGTAGGAGACTAAGACCTCACAAAAATGAGGTCAACAAGTTTCTCTATCGTGCTTAGGGTTTTTGCCTCTCAATGTACTTAAAAATTCTATAGCTTTTGTATGTACATTTTTGGTTATTTCTTTAGGTTAGCCATGTTTATGTCCATAGAAATCCTTTAAGGTCATATTCCCTATACTTGTGAGCAAAAACAGAGAAAACTCCAATCATTATAACAACAAATTTGCACGTTGGAAACCTCACATGGATAGAAACTAAACTAGTGTACTCCATAATATTATTATGAAATCAACAAAATGTCTAGAATCCGTTGGCAATAACAGAGATAAAAACACTTGAATTTAATAAACTGTTTTCACTTGTATAACAACGCATATAATAGACATAGAATACAAACACATTGAGAATTCTAGTTCATTTCAAATAAAGTATTTAACTTTTTTGGGCAACTTTCTGCCACAAATATGTAAGAGTTTCACAATATTAGATGTAGGATTAAACCGCCGAAGGAAATCAGAACAAAAAAAGGCATTGGATCCATAAGGAAAAGAAGATATAAAAAGCCATTTGATAAACCTACGGACCTTTCAAAACATGAACGATCATGCTACTAAGATATATAAGAATGTTGCCTCTTCCAGACAGCAAGCTTTCGGATGAATTGACCAAATGCTTCACATAGAGAGCCCCATCTTTAGATAACTGTTTACAGTAAGTACAAGAATCAATTCTTCTTTGATACAGGTCAGTCAAAGCAGTGAAATACATAGCAGCATCAATCAGGCAAAACAAAAGAAAATATTACTATGATATGGTTTTATCTGCCTTGAGGGTTTAACAGATTTCTACGATACATTGATTCAAAATGTTTTGTCTAACCTTAATCACATAGTTCATCCATTGATTATGAAGATGCTCATGTCCCCTCAACCAATTTCACACCTAAACAAAAAATCTGAAAAATCTTTTCAACACAACTTCCAAAGCAATAACTAACTCTTTTAGGCTACACTTTATAAACCTATCATTAACTAGTTTAAACCACAACATCATGTTGACTATAACCCAAACACTCTGTAACTACCAATGTAAGATCTGAAATTCTTTCCTTTTTCTCCCGCTACCAAGCCACACTGCCCACCTTCCCCATTTGATCACACAAATCATTCGATCGCATAAATCTCAGGATCTGATTCGATGCTGCCTTCCCGTTCTGGGCTCCCGCGATACTTTCTGTCTTTACTTTTCCTTCCCGCGCTTAGCATTCCTCTGGTTCATTTTAAGGAGGATCTAAGCCAGAGAAAAATAGCCCTCCCCTTCGCAACCATCAAAGGGCCAAACCCTTCTCCTCACACACACACACACATGTATCTATAAATGTATTTTAATCATGATAAACTATATTCTAGTTAAAATTAATTAGTTTCGTAGTTTCCTTCAAAATTATAATAATAGTAGTTTAACTAATAATAACAATGACTAATTAGTTAAACGTCTGGACTTGTATAATTGTTAACAATTAGAAGTCTAATTGATATAGGACCTATTAATTGACACTAGTTGAGTCGCTAAGACTTTTAAGAGTTCTATTATCCGCTTCAAGATAAAAATTGATTATTCTTATGCAATAACCGTGCCATTCATTGTTAGAAGTGTCATCATTGCTACTTGTATTAGATTCTTAGCTAGTTGAAGATTTGTCAACTATATCTAGGTGTGTCAATCAGCGTGAGTTTAAGTTACTCATATTCATGGTCATAAGCATGTGATTCTCTTTTTACAAATTATGTTATACATATAATAAATCACTCATTTTATTGCTCATACCGTATGCCCCAATTCCTTGTCATTTACGTTTTAGAAAATAATAGTTATTTATCATGTTTGATTTGTCAAACTCACCAGTTGAATTTTTAAATAACAGGTTACACTCTGTCGCTCGAAGGATTGTCTCATCTGATCAAATTATCCAAGTTTAGACTTTAATTTTGAGCATGTTTAGTTTTTTCCATTAGTTATTGTATTTCCTTTTTGGGTATTGATCATTACTTGTCGGTTGTCATTTCATTTAGTTTCTTATTGTCTTTCAGTCGTATCAATTATTGACTTTTATTTATGAAATGAAATAAAATTGTCTTTCCTTGTTTATTATACTCATTGTTTGTGTATGATCTTTCCTTTTAAGAATACAAAACATGTTAACATTCTTTCATAGGCCTTACATTGTCAGGGTGTACCGTCTTCTTGACTTGGGATCCGGAGTGTGACAAACTCTTTGGAAAAATAAAAATAACACAGTGCATGAATTCGAGATGTAGAATTTCACTCAACAAAATACTCGTAAAGAAATATTTCAAAGTTGTAATAAAGTATTTGTAAGTTTAGATATCATTCAAGCTCTACAGACTTCTCATCTGCCATTACAAAAAGTAAGAGTTTCAAATCGAACCAAAATGGTTGAAGCAAATATCCTAAAGACAGCTGATGCTAATTTATCCCAAATAATAGTACCTTTTCCCACATATGTTGAGGCATTGCAATAAATACAGTCAAGATTGTACATCCAGGACGAATATACCCCTCGAGCTCAACCGGCATGCTTGCCAACCACTGAAATATCTGCATGTTTGACAATGGCACAGATTAAATGGTTAAAACCAATGAAAAAAAAAAATTTGTCAAAACTACAATGCCTACTTGAAGTCGTAGTCTTCTAGGAAACTCTGCAGGGTTCCAATCATAAAGCTTAAATGATATGCGGCCTGTAGGACACTACAAACAAAAAATGTGTCAGTAGGTTCAAACTGTTGACCGTGAATATGGCATGTATATTTTAACAACTCAAATATTCGTTTTGTATGTTAAACATGAAGGAAAGGTAAAAGGACATATTTAAACCACCATTGACGAATAGGAAGCCTTTTTATCACAACTTGTGGACGAAAAGGCAGATTGTGGATGGTCTTTTCTGTCATCTACACGAGCTTCTGCAGAAGCTGCAAATAATAGAGGACTTTTGGTTTGGGCCTGTTCAACTCCAGTAAATGAACATCCAGGGAAACCATTCCCATTTTCACAATCCAAAAACATCTCCCCATCTACTAAATTGTTGCTTTCACCATTATCAACAGCTTTGCATGCATAAGCTTCTGGCGTCCCTGCACGGATTAAATAAGTGAAGGATATTTTCAAGGAATTTACTCCAAGCAGCAATAAAAGAGCATTGCATACTCGAACCATACAGCCAAATGAATTTCTATATAATTTTATTAATAGTAGCTCTAGTGGCAAAATTGTAACTATGGGTAATCAAATCACTAAAAGGTGTGATCGTTCAATATAACTCGGATCTATAGTTTAGAATGATGGTGAGAGAGATGGGGATGTTATAAGTAGAATTCAGGTTGGTTGGTTGAAATGGAGGAAAGCATCGTGCATATTATGTGATAGAAAAGCACCGCTCAGACTGAAAGGAAAATTTTATAAGATGGCGGTGAGACCTGCAATGCTCTATGGCACAAAATGTTGACCTTTAAAAGAGAAGCATAAAATAGAGTTAGGTGTTGCTAAGACGAGAAAGCTTAGGTGGATGAGTAGCTTGACACTTAGAGACAAAGTGCTAAATGAATATATCCATGATAGGATTTGTGTAACTCCAGTGGCAGACAAGATTAGAGAGAGTTATTTTAGATGGTTGGTCACATTAAAGCCAACCATCTGATGATCCTATTAGGAGAGTAAATATTTTAGATTGATTTATGTTAAGAAAAACTGCGATAGACCTAAACAAAATTGGACAGATTGTATAAAAAATAATCTAAATCTATAAATCTATAAGAATTAAATGAAAATATGTCACTCAATAGGAAGCAATGGAGAAAAAGGATTCATGTAGTCAACCCCACTTAGTGGGATAAAGACTTGTTGTTGTCGTTGTACTTTGCATGATATGCAAACCAAAGCTTATGATAGAAAAAAGGAACCAATAATGCAGGAAATACAATTTGAATGAATTGAATAGAAAGAGAACTGTTGGATCAAGTGTAATGTGACAAAAAATTCTGCAGAAGGCAGGCATAAGCTACAGTTACCTAATAAAACATTCGATAGAAATAAATGAAGGGGGTTATTAAAGCCAAAGATAAATTAATGGGACAAGGCAAATGATGCTAAACAAAGCTTATTACATCAATATCCTTATGTTTATCCAAACTTTCAAAACTAAGAAAAGTGCAAAAATTAGATTTTCAACCCAAAAAAAAAAGAAATCAGAAGATTATTCAATAAAAAAAAATACCTTGTATTTGATCTGAATCACGAAAGACATTTTCTTGTAGTTCTGCCTGAGATAGATTTTCTTTTTCCACTACATTATTTGAATCAGCAGGTTTTCTCCGACGCCTTCTGTTGTGTTTCTCTAATTTCCGCCTACAACTTCTCTTACCTTCATCAAAGTCAAGCAGTACATGAAATCTGGACAGAAAAGCAACAGAATTAATCAAAACTTGGAAATCAGAACCAGGACTAAATTAACTGCAATCAACTGTCGTAGACCAATACAACTAAATAATAAAGAAAAAAAAAACACCCCAAAAATTATATCCCATTGACAGTAAGAAGACACAGTGTCACACCATAGTTGTGTCTAGTAACAGGAGGTCTTGTCCTACTATTTATATAGCAGAATTCTAGGTTACTCTTGAAACCCTCAATATATGAAAACTATTAATTAAATGGCAATAAAGAAAATATTCTATAGCTTGCACAAATCTATTTTCTTACAAACCCAAGAAAGATTTCGCACCTTGAAGAGCCCACAAAGTGCCAAGCTAACCTCTAAAACTGCTAACAGTCCATAATGTATCTATCTAGTCCAGTAGATATTTTTCATTCATAACTTAGAAGTGATTCTCAAATTTAGATCTTGGCAATCCTTTGGTTATGCTGTCTTCCAACTAGTTGCATATTAGGACATATGAGATAAATATGATTACGCTATTTTTATACAACGAAATGTTGATAGTTTTTTGTATTTACATTGGTCATATTGGGTTGGATTGTCTACGAAGTTGATGGATAATTTATCAACATAATATAACTACATAGTATACTCCATTTTATTCTTAAGTCATCCAAGATAATTTGATCCATAAAAGCAAATAGATCCCTCAAGATATTGCCTAAAATTTGGCTTCAATGCTAGATCTAGTGATTACAGATTGCTTCGTTCTTCTCCAGTGATCATATTTCCACCTAAATTGCAGTAAGCAGTATTAAGACCTTTTATTTGTAAATCATCTTGCCCAATCAAGATCTTTGTATATGCTTCTAAATTGCTTCTGTTATTTTTTAAGAAAAAATTATTTTTCTTACATTGCTTTGAGAAGTCGAAGAGTTGTATTACTTCTAAAGAAGCATTTTTTTAGGATTATGCATAAATTAACTTAAAATACTTTCAACTTAAGTACTTTCAACATAATTTATGTCAGATTTTGTGTGGACAAGATAGATAAGCCTTCTAATCAATCGTCAATATCTTTCTCTGTCATTCGGAGTTGTTATATGCCTTTCTAAATTTGGGGCAGAAGTTAATTGGAGCTTCATAAGAATTGCATCCCATCATACATGTTTTGTTCAGTAGATCTATGATGTATTTTTGTTGAGAGGTTATTATTTCAACTTTTGGGCGGACCACTTCATTGTAAAAAATATTTGAGCCTTCCCAGATCATTAGTGGAAATTCCATACATTATTAATCTTTCACATTTTTTATTCATTTGAGATCATCTCCTATTACAATCATGTCTTCCACATACACTACGAAGATTGTGACTGGCCTTTGTTGGCTTTCTTTATGAATGAAATGTGATCTACAAGACTATGTTTAAAGTTCATCCATTCCATGGCTTTCGTAAACTTCCTAAACCATACTCTTGAAGATTTTTTGAGGCCGTATGAACTTCTGTTCAACCTGTATGCATCACTAGTATTAAAATCTAGAATAGAATGTGGTGTTAATTGTGCGAACATTTCTCCAAGTTTGTCATGTAGGAATGCATTTTTTACATTCAGCAGTTGTAAAGGCTGGTTGAGGCTATTTGTCGAGATTATAAGTATCCTAGAGGTGTCTAGCTTTGTGATTGGTGTAAAGATTTCCTAGAATCAACTCCATAAGTATAATATAACGTTTTGGCACAAGGGAGCTTTATACCGTTTGATGTCACACTTACATTGGGTTTGACAATGCATGCACGCTTACTTTCAATTAATTTCTCTTTTTTTGCAATTTTATTATCTCCCGAGTTTGGTTTTCTTTTAGGACACTTCTTTGATCATGGCTTTCTTTTCTCAAACGCTTCTTATACAGTTATTGGAACATTGATATTATTTATCCAAATATAAAAGGTTTTCCGAGAAGATGAAATTTTGGCAAGCTAAATAAAGACGGCAATATAGTGTTAGGTGTATGATTGGATTTGTTTTGCTGATGTAATTGGACTGTGTATATCATGATGGATTTCAAGGATCTGCATGAATGCAGATGGTTGTGCAAGCTTTGGTTCAGTGTTAAAACTCTTCTTTCTTTTCTTCACTATAATTAATGGTGATGGTTTAGGTTCATTATATAGAATTTTGTTTGAATTGACATCTAAGAGGCTTACTTCTATTTATAAGGAAGTCTCTGGATTTGCTTGAGACCCTGTAAGTCAGTTGGATTGTTGGAAGATTGAGTTTGAGAAAAAAATATATATTTTCATTTTTAGGCTCCCCTGAAGACAAATAGGGTCATACAATCCTTGTTCTTTAGTAAATGTAATATATATGGAGCTGAATTTTTTGGAACTAGGACGGTAAGACTTATACCTTTTTTTAGTCGAAGGGTGTCCAAGAAGATGCACTTATAGCTCTTCAAATAAGTTTAGTATTTTAATGGTGTGAGATACTGGCAATACTCACAAAAGTTTTTATAGGAAGCATGAATGTTGAAAGTATGGAAAAAAATTGGTGAGGATTTCAATTGATGTTTTGCTTAGTAATATTCCCCTAAAAAGAAAATTCAGTAGGAATGAGGCAGTAAAGGGTTGCTTCTATCTAATAAAGTTTAGAAACTTCATTTTCAAACAATCTAGTGGTTCAAGGAGATGTCGTTTTTTTCTTTCTACAATACCATTTTACTGTGATGTGTTAGCACAAGAGGAGCCATGAATGATATAACCTTAGTAAGAAAAAGAGTGAAAGGTTTAATTAAAACATTTTTTTCCCATTATAAGGACTAATACATTTAATATTAGTGCTAAATTAGTTAAGGATCATTTATACGGAATATGAGGAAGATTGTAATTATATTGAATTTGTTTTTCAAGAAAAAAGTTGAATTGTGCGTGAGTAATCATCTACAACAATAATAAAATTATTTAGCCCAATCAATACTAGGTATGCAAGTGGCCCTCACACGTTTGTGTAGATTACGGTAATAGGTAATGAGGCCCTTGAGTAGCTTTGGAGATAGGAAACTGCATGGTGTTTTGCCATTTGACTTGAACTTTTATTTTATTAAATAATTTGGGAAACAATAATTATAGTGCACAAATAGATAGATCACTCATCAAAATTTGATACAGGTAAATAATACTGAAGACTGTTTATTACTGCTTGTGTTAAAATAGTAGAGTCCTTATTTCTTAGCATGTCTAATCATATTTCACGTAGTTTGATCCAAAAAAAAACAATGACTAGCATAAAAGGTTCCAAAACTAGTTAGATTAGTTATCAGTTTTAAATATAAATAATAGGTTCGTGAATAATTTCATCAAGTGGAGAACATATTATAATGGAAGAAAAGATGTGAGCTTATAAATCCATTTCCTGCGATAATGACAAGGATTCAATCAGTTAGTTCTCTGTTTTGATTTCAGGCTTTCAGCCCCTTCTGGTATAAAAAAAGGTGAAATATTTTATCCACTAGAAAGTCGACGCTCTAAATGTTGTAATCAGATTAAAACACATGTGCCAATATTCATTATTTTGTTCACCAAAGAGAAGATATTGAGGCAGTTCAAAAACTTGCATAAATTTATCAGTGATTTGAAGTAACAGAAGCATCAATCAATTTCAACTGAAAAGAAACTAAACCCAAGTCTTGGTTTTGAGAACAAATTTGGACAATAAAAGGTTGATCTTCGACCAAAAAGTCCATATGTGTAATATCCTTTTGACTTAAATAAAAGGCTTCTAAACTCAGAATAAGCCTTGAAACATTCAAAGATTTGTCCAAAATTGTGGCAAGAAAAGCAGTATGATGTATGATTTAAAATTGAGCTATTGAGTATTGAAACACTATCGTCCATGAGATCATACATAAGCCTTAAAGTATTTCAAGGTGTAAATCTCAGATTTAAAAATTGTGTAAATTAATAAATATTCTATAAAATATAAAGTGTGAAGTAAGAGAGAACATAATAAAATTCTAACTTATTAATACATTAAAAAGTAATATAAAAACACTCCTCAGAGTAAAAAAGAAATAACTTATGTAAAATTAGAAGTAATATGCTAACATTAAATTATGAAAAAAGATGGGTTATACGAACATTAAACTATCAAAGTAAACTAAGATATTAAAATAAAATATAAAATTATCAAAACATAATAAACAAAATAAGTTCAACATAAATATTTCTGTCCCACTCATATTTCCCCCCACTTAAACAAAAAATATAACAAGCCATTAACATTTTAATTTTCAAATTTCAAAGTCTATATTACTCTCATCACCATATTAATTTTAGTTTTAATCATCCGCATAATGAATTGTTTACTCGCATTTTATCTTTAGCCGTGTTCATATTCTCTCATTCCTCCTTATTTTAAATCTCGTTAATATTCTATTTTTTAATAAAAAATCACCAATAAAAATAGTAATTAAAATGTTGAAATATAGAGCAACGGCATAATTTTATCTGAATAAATTATCTTTTTACTTTTTGTTATTGAGTGTGTGCAGCGTGAAGATTAATAGGTGAGTTATATTCATATTGTTTTTTATTTTTAAAAACTTGATGATAGACTCAAAAAACAAATGTCTTTTATTAGGCAAGATGGCTCACCCTACGGCAAGCCTCATTGAGACTTTTTTTTTTTAAAGAAAGTGTTGATGTGGGGCTCAAAATGAGCCTCATATTGCACAATTTTAAAGAACTATGTTAGTATGTTATCAAATTATACTTTCTGTCAATTATCGAACGACAAAAATCCAATTCATACCTTATGAAAAAGTTCAGTGGCATTCAATTCCACAAAAACTCTTAGGGTCTGTTGAGATCATTTCTATTTTCTATTTTTATTTTTATTTGTAGACTATTTTATTTTTTTTTATGTTTTTTGTTTTTAGAAAATGTGTTTAGTACTGTTATGATTTATACGTTTTTAAAAATAAAAAATATAAAACGTGTTCGGTTGAGTATTTTTTTTAAGAAAAAATTATATTTTTTTTATAAAAAAGTTGGGTCTACGAGCGCTCCAGAATTAAGCTCTCTCTCATGACGTATACAACGTCTTTCTTGTTCCACTTGGCAGAAAGAATTACATGTGGAGCGGCAGACGGCGGCCGACAGGAGCCGTCAACGTGCAGCAAGCAGAGGAGGTAATGCTCGGAAAAATATTTTTTTTAAAACAACAAAAACACAATTTCTGTGTTTTTGATGTTTTGAAAACAAATCTTATATGTTTTATAAACAAAATTTAAAAAAAATGAATAAAGAAACACTATTTTTGGGTTTTTTTTCTATTTTTTGTTTTCAAAAACAAAAAAAATAAAAACAAAAAGTGATCTCAAATAAGACCTTAGTTATAGAAAGCCTAACAAAATGAGCAATTGCAACATCTACTTGTAAAGCTATTCCAAGGATTGAAGCCAAAAAACAAGGATGAAGTGGAGATGTTGAACAGTAGCCCCAAGATATCAAAAATGTTCAGCCTTTTAATGATTTGATCACCCAATATTACAATCTAGTCACTAGATCTGCTACTACTCAAATTACAACAAAGATAAAAATTTAGTATATTACTTTCATATTGGTTATGAGATGCACAAAAGGTTAGCTTCAATCAACTAACACTTTAATTACATTGAATAAATCTAGCATAACTCTAGCAACATGGACGAAAACTTCCAATCTTTCAAAAGTACCTTTACAAAGTTGTAGTAATAATCTTAAGGATTGAAGATGACTTTTTTTGCCAATATTGCTGATGTTGATAATGTTCTTCTTCATCACTTCAAACACGGAATAAATTTAGCATTATCACTTCTCCTTCAAGATATGATTTTCCTAACTCTATAATACAACTAAAGACCAATTCTTTCTCCAACAACATTTAAAACTCTCCAAAGTTATGTTTTTTATAATACAAAGGAATTGATGTAGCGCAAGCCTACCGTAGCCCTTAGTCATAAACAATTATTTTCAATCATCCTTATTTGTATTTACGCTGATTATTAATGATTTAAATGACACTAATTTGATTTTTTAAATTTATTTATGGATAGTGCTGCCATTTTCAATAAAGCCTATATCTATAAATAATGCCATTCAGGTATTTCAAATAATTAATGGTGAAATAACAAATGTTTTTAATTTGACATTTTTATTTTGACTGATCCTCCTTCCATCCTGAACCATAAGATTTTTCAGTTTTTCTCTCTTTACCTCTTGCATCCCTTCCAATGCTTTCATTCACCTAATATTTTCAATCGCTTTTTCGCTTCATCGCCCTTATTCTTCCACTAAGTTGAATCCTTCTCATTTCAACAATTTAAACAACTTAAAAAATTTATACAATCTTTGTTTTCACTACCACACCTTCTGACACAAATTAAAAAAATGTACAGAGTCTTAAGCCGTAAGGATGGATGTCTATGAAGCACTGATAATTCTGGATATTCATTACGTCTTGTCTGACCATACGACAATAAATAACTTACATCTCTGAGCTAAACGATGTCCCTCCAAAATAACTAGTCTAGTCTTACAAGGTGCTCAGTTAAAACGGTACTCATACAAATGTCACAGGAAAGATGACAAGAAAGTTATTCAACATAGAGAAGCTTCATTAAACTTATAAACAAGGAAACCTGATAGACCTGCAGTCGCTTTTGCTAGAATGGTTACAGCTGAGCAAAACGGTAACCCACATTAGGGAGTCAACAGCAGTTTCTAGGAATAGAATAACCAATCCTAAAATCAAGAACACGAGATTTCGGTATAAAAATTGGCATGAACATTCAAAGAATCCAGTTTTCTATGTAACCCAATTATGATATCACCCAAGTTAGTCCCGCTCGTAGAAATCATGTATTGTCATTGCAAGGGACTAAACACTGCAAAAATTTTCTGGTTCCCGTTTTATCGTTATTCTATATTGAGTTATCAACAATTTAATAGCAAATACGCAACAATTCAAACTGCTTGAAGTCAATTATTGTGTGCATCAATTTTGTCAAATAAGCTAAACCGCACAAGCAACCATGCAGCCTCAATTTCAATCAGCTAATTTCCCATGGAAAAACCAAAAGGAACCTGCAGAGATCAAGAACCAAACTCACATACTTGCCACACTGCTGGCAATACCGCTTCTCCTCGCCATCAAGCATCACTGACGAAGCATTAGCACAACGGAGGCAGACCCGATGGCGCCGGTGATAGCCCTTGAGCTCCTTAATATCCGCCTCACATCCCGGGACCTGGCAACGCACCCCGACGTTCACCACCCCCGCTCTCGCCCTCTTCCTCCCCCCGAACACCTGTTCCTCCTCCTCATCCCCCTCCAACTCCTTCTCATCCACCTCCGGACAAGCGCACGGCACCCGCCCGGCCAGGTAGTTTGCGCACACCAGCCTCGGATCTCGCTTCCTCACCCGATTCGAGCTCCCCGCCACCGGCGCAATAACAGGCGGCGGATCAGCGGGGGTTTCCACCTCGGACAACGGCAGCCGGGGAAGATCGGCGGCATCCCATGGAAGACTCAAAGTATCTTCCGTCTCAAGCGCGAAATCAAGGAGGTTACCCCAGTCCCAGACTGTCGAGGCGGACAGATCCTCTGAAATCTCCAGCGCAGGAACCGAAACAGAAGAATCCACCGGCGATGTCTGCTGGAACTCCATCTCGGAAACCCAAACCCTCGGTAGAATGGGGGTAGAGAAGATGGAAGGAAAAGATGGTCGTCGGGTGGTAAGTCGTCCCCTTTGGTGGCGTGGGGTACGATCCGGTGGACAATGGAATCTCCGGTGGCGGCCCCACGTGATCGACAGGTATGACACTATGTCGACACAGCTCCTATAATTTGGGGGATTATTGTATTCGGATTTTTCAGTGTTTGTACACCGGATAGAGAGCTGACGTGATGCTCTTTTCGTCTCGTGGTTGGAAAATATTTGTATATATAAGGCTAGGGGTTATTCGGAGGATAAGTGGGGTTACAGAACGGTATATCTTTGTAATTTTTTTGTAAATTACCTGTAACCTACAAATGAGTTTCGTGTTTCTATAGTTTCATAGGTACAAATAAGTTACACGGAGGTTACAAGAGAGTTACACGAAAGTTTAAGGGGGGTATAACCCGAATATGACTCTCCTGTACCCCTTGAATAACCTCTGACGTACGCAGCGCTGCGTACGTCTTATGTACGCAAATTTTTTCCCTCCTAGTTGGTGACTGTTTGTTTTATAAAAAAGGGCAAAGTAGATATTTATGTAAATAAATTTTATTTATAATGCCCTGAGTATGTTTTCAAAATAAGTTAAGGCTTGTCTTTTTTTTTCGCAAAGGTGTTATTGTGCATTCTTTTTGATTGATGGCAAAATTTAAATACATATCACATAATTTATATGTATTTACATATATATAACATCTGATTTTTTTGTTTTTTGCATTTATATAATTCAAATATTTCATGTCAAATAAAAAATATCAACATTCTAAAAAAAATGTGTAAATACAGAAGAGTGTGTGTGTGTGTGTGTGTGTGACACCGTGGCTGCCCCAGGTATAGATAGATATATTGATATGTTGAATGGAATATTACACACCTAAGATATGGAATTTAAGAACCAATAGATAGAGAGAGAGAATGTGATGTCGTGACTGCCCCCATCAAAGCAAAGTGAGAGTGTTCTCTGAGCTCTCAGATTCATTTCATATATCAAGAGAGTATTTACAGAAGAATGAGAGAGCTTAAATGACATGAGTCTCGTTATACATAAAAGGTCATTCAATTTATAGATTATATGAGAACAAACATAAATATACAAGTTTGCTCTTGAGAGTTATTTCAGTTGGCACCTCTTCATGTCCATATTTAGGTCTATCCAACGAGGCGATCGCCCGAGTCCGCAAACGGACTACACTCAGCCGACAGAGTAAGGTTACCAAATAGATTGCGGTCTGCCGACGGACTGAGGTCGGCAGAAAACTTACGATCGACAGAAGGACTGCAGTTGGTCAACGGACTAGGGGGTCGGTCAAATGAAATAGTAGGTTGGTCTCTGCTACCGTTAGAATTTGTCTAGATCAACACGAGCACTTTTCAGTCATACATAAGTATCCCCGCAAGTCTTTCACTTATTGAAAACAAAATTGTGATAATAATGAGAGAATTTAAATAACAAAAACACAATCTAAACAATGCACTAATTAAACTCCTTTTATTTTGTGTTGCTCGTCGCTTTATTTTCTTCGATTCTGAAGTGCTCTCCTGAAGTCTTTTTGGGCCTCTTTTGAATCTCTCACTTAGTCAACTCCTAAAAAAAAGTGTTGGTAATTTATCCAATAATAAATTAAGCTCTTACATTTGAATATTTTTCTTATCTTACTCTTGCAGCACAATTTGATTGTGACAATTGGACGTTTTAGAATGTTTGACGACCCAAATCTTCACAAACAATTTCTATAACTTTTCGAGTAAGAAGAGAGTTCGTCAGCAGGGGGCTGAGATAACTATCTCTTACCTGACTGACTGCTTGCTTATCCGCATCGGGAAAAAAAGAGTACCTAGTACCACTTTCCTCACTGTATGTTCCGTCGTTGACTCGTTCCTAAAGTGCTAGACTTTCTTTCTTTACCACAAAGTCAGGAAAAATCATTAGTCTTTTTTGATGTATTATATTTCCCAGAACTCTTGGCTCAAGTCTTACGAAGCACTTGTCAAGTTTTTTCAATGGGTTCATCAACTCAATCAAGCCTACAATTTTGTTTGGGCTTAGGAGCGTTGCCTTCACCAATGTAACCAACGAAACTAGCTGTTGGGACAATTTGTGTCTTATTCTTCATGGAGCTTGTCGTTGTTAAGCAGTGAATCGCATCCAGAGCTTTTGCTTGATCCAAATTTAGAGACATGACTTTTTATGTTTGACATTGAGTAATCTGCTCGGTGTTATTTGCTCTATCATATTCTAAATCTCCTAGTGTCCCATGTAAACTCTTCGAGCGCTCCCCCGCTCAGTCAGACCCTAGAAACATAATTTAGATGATCAAACATATATATTTCGGGGACAAAAATTTAAAGACATTGCGGGATATTTTGATCATTCGGTACCGTCGTCCGCCTGTAATTTCCGGTCGAACGAATTCTGGTGACATGAATTTCAGGTCGTCTAAATTTCGGCTGAGTGAATTTTGTTTAGAAATGGTCGGCCGGCGGGGTTATGCACGGCGGCAAAGGATGCATGCTAATCTGCCAGCTGCTCGGTCGGTGTTAGGATGGTTATGATGAAACCCTTCTCGGCGTTGTAACCAAAAAAGTTAAAAAGTAAGGTTGATTGGCGTTTTGGTCGGTCGACGCCGGTTTCCCAGTGATGGAATAGATATGACCTGTCAACTCTGGCATCTGAGTGATAACGAAGGCCGGTCGGCGCTGGCTCCTGACAACAGGGAGATGCGGTCGCAATTGGAATGATAAAAGAACTTTGAGGTTTATGAAACAGCTCTTTTCTGGGGGCATTCAGATGAGAGGTGATCACACTCATAACAGTTTGCCACACTCATAACTAGTTTGCTTCTTCTTCTTCTTCAATTTCCCAGCATCAAAGCCACCATTTCCCATCTCGTTACCTTCCTGCTTCATCTCATGGGATCTGAAATCGGATTCGCTCTGCTGGAACTTTTCTTCCCATGATGTTACCCTTGATTCAGAGCTAAAAATAGAAACGGGCCAGTCTAGCCTCTGGGCTTTGAATGGGCAGTAGTTTGTTAAGGTTCTCGTTTTAAGCCCAACTCAGCTCTTATTTAGGCCCTTAGGCTCACCAAAGTCTAATTAGCAGTTAATTGGTTAACTCGTGCAGAGTGATCTACAATGGGTGGAATTAAGGAACATGGGTTTAGAGACCCAATTAACTTCGTGAATTGAGGATTGAGCTTCCTAAGAGTTATTGCCCGACAATATAAAGTATTAAGTGCATTACCGTCATTTTACAAATAATTTTATTTTTCTATAAATACATGAATAGTACATGTAATACGGGAGGACCCAATACAAAATATGACCGATTATGTAATATATAATAAATATTTATTCTTATGGATAAGAACCCCATAATATCATTATTATAGCTATTAGATCGTGCCATCAAGACCTTACCAGTTTAGCTGTATGGAACGAAAACAAAAGGATACAGATGGCTCAACCTTTCTTTATAATGACAACCACACGTCGCTATTCAAATTATCCCTTTCTTTATATGATATTAAACCCATTTTCCGCAGCTTTCCCTTAAGCTTACCCCCAAATCCCCATGGATCGTCTCGTGAAGGCAGGAGCTCCGGAGGTGGAGCTCAAATTCCGGCCGTCGGAGCGCTGCACGGCCGACTTCAAAATCGAAAGCTTGATTCACACCATGCCGGTTGCCGTCCAGCTCACAACCACCCGCCCGTCCTTATACAACTTCTCCCCGGCCGCCGTAGCCCTCATCCCACCCCTCTCCTCTGCTTTCTTCAAAATCGTCCTCCTCCCCACGGCGGCGCCGCCGATAGCCTCCCCGCCTGAAGCCATCATCGTCCGTTCAGCTATCGTTCCCGCCCTCCACCGCGCCGACACGGCCGCCCTCCTCCGCTTCTTCTCCCGCCCAACCCTCCCCATCTTTCGCGACGCCTCCATCCCCATCCATCTCATCGGTTCCCACATCCTCAACCATGTTCTCCTCTCACCCAATCCCTCCTCTCTTCTCTCCCGCATCATCCCTTCCTGCACTCCCGACGAACTCTCCGCAGAACTACCCCTTGCAGCCGGCGCCGGCGACTCTATTACCGTCACCGCCCTACTCGCCGCCGGCGCAAACCCCAACACTCGCAACGCCGAAAAAAAATCTCCCATTTACCTCGCCGTCTCCGCCGGAAAGCTAGATTCCGTCAAAGCCCTGGTTGATGCCGGCGCCACCGATCGCCCTTTTCACGAAGCCGCCGCCGGGAACAGAACAGATATAATCTTCCTCATGATCGGCAAATTAGGACCCGGGAATAAATACTGGGCCGATACAGTCGACGAACAGGGGCGGACGGCGGTCCACGCGGCGGCGGAGAATGGGTGCGTCGAAGCCCTCCACCTCAGCCTCGCCGTCGGAGGCGGCGACGCCGATCGAGCCGATGCGCGTGGATGGACCCCGCTCCACTGCGCCGGCGCCGGCGGCCATCTCAACGCTGCGGAACTGATCATCGCTAACTCGAGCTTCGATCCGCGCAGAGCTCTGACAAGGGAAGGGAAGGGAAAGA